ATTTACTCTACATCTAGGTACAACATAGTAGAATTGCAAAATACCAAAACTAAAGGGGAAGCCTTACTATTGACTGTAGAGAAAAAGCAGTTATAACAAAGGGAAGGCAGACTTGAGCAGGCGTGACGGTAGGAGCCAGAAGACTATGCAGTATCTTCAAAGTGCTGAGAAAAAAACAGCTTTCAACATAGAGTTTTATACCCAGTTAACCTATTTTTCAAGAGTGGTGGCAAAATACACACACTCTATCAGAAGATAAATGGAAAAGTATCCTCAGGTGAGGATTTAAAAAAATAAACTTAAAAAAAGTAACAGTGAACAAATTGGTGAATGTGAATAAATAAGTTTTGACTGTATGCAGTAATAATGATGATGAACCGAGTGTAAAGGGAGGTAGAACTAAAGTGTTAGGTAACAATAACAAATCAGCTAGGAGGCAAGTGATGTGTATTAAAAGCTGTTAAGGTCTTTTATAGTGTTCAGGGGAAGGGCATATGTGATTTTTATTTTAGCATTGTAAAGTGTGGTGTGCATATCTAAAATTAGTAAAAATAGAAACGTATAACTTACAAATCAAATCAGTAGAGACAGCTAGTGAGGAAAGTAAGGGAAACTGTCACTCCATTAGAAAACAGCAGCACAGGAGTAGATGAGAGGTGGGGAAGCAGCAAAGAAAAAACTTGTAAATAGAGAGTATAAGTCAATCCAAAGATGTCAGTAATAACAATGTAAGTCATGGAAATCTGCCAGTTGAAAACCTCTGACTTTTTTAAAAATCTAGTAATATGTTCTTTACAAGAGTCCAGAAAAACAGCAAGTAGAGCCGTGCATGGTTCTCAACCCTCCTAATGCCCTTTAATACAGGTCCTCATGTTGTGGTGACCCCAACCATAAAATTATTTTCATTTCCACTTCATAACTATAATTTTGCTACTGTTATGAATTGCCATTGGAAGTATGTGTTTTCCGATGGTCTTAGGTGACCCCTGTGAAAGGGTCTTTCGACCCCCAAAGGGGTCGCAACCCTCAGGTTGAGAAATGCTGAAGTAGAGGGATACTAAGGAAATAGTAGCCAAACAAAGATGCTCTAGTTATTTGACATCAGACAATGTAGACGTTAGGACAAAGGCCTTGTTAGGGATAGAGAAGGATGCTGCACAGTGATGAAAGGCTCAGTCCACCAGGAAGATACTTTTCTAAGAGGATGCACATGAAATGATGTAGTCTCAAAATACATACAGCAAAATTGACAGAATTACAAGAAGAAATTGACAAATCTACTAGCTAGTACTGGGAGATTTTAACAAACCTCTCAATAATTAGTAAACATATATGTAATTTGGACAATAAAATTAATACATTTGACATAGTAGATATATAAAGAGCCATATGTCTGTCAAGTAAGAGAATGCACATTCTCTTCAGGCACACATTAAATACCAGTAAGAATTAACCACGTACTAGGCCACAGAGCAAATTCTATGAAGTCAATATCATAACAGACCACACTTTTTAAAAATGCACATTGCAGTGTAATTAAAATCAGTACCAGAAAGATACCTTGAAAAGTTAAAAACATACTTTTGAATAATTTATGGGTCAAAGAAAAAAATCATAATGAAATTAGAAAATATTTGGAAGTGATCATAAAATACTATATACCAGTCATACCCAAACTGAGGGACATTCTACACCAGTGATTCTCAACCTTCCTAATGCGGCAACCCTTTAATCCAGTTCCTCAGGTTGTATGTGGGCGTATCTGCATGTGGGCGGACCCGCCTGGAGACGGATAGAGGAGCCGTGTCTCAGTTCCTAAGACCATCGGAAACAGGTGTTTTCCTAGGGTCTTAAGTGACCCCTGTGAAAGGGTTGTTCGACCCCCAATGGGGTCGTGACCCACAGGTAACGATGGTCTTAGGAACCAAGACACCGCTCCTCTATCCATCTCCAGGTGGGTCCGCCCACATGCAGATATGCCCACATACAACATGAGGAACTGTAGTAAAGGGTTGTGGCATTAGGAAGGTTGAGAACCACTGCGAGGGGCACGTGCCTTGGTTGCGGTTTGTTCCTGGCCCCGGTTGGGGTCGTGTGGGTGGCAACCACTCCATGTGTCTCTCTTGCAATGATGTTCCTCTCTCTCTCTTCCTCCCTCTTTCCCTCCTCTGTCTGATGATAAATGCAAGTGTCCTTGGGTGAGGATAAAAAAAAAAAACTAAAACCATATTGAAATGTCTTGTCACTCATCTGTTTGTCTAACATTACCAAGTGACGGCGAGACTATAAATTCCTACAACCACTTTGGTGAATAATTTGGGAAGTGGAAGGTTAACTCACAGCCACAAGTGTAATTCCACTTCCATATACATGTAAATTCTATGTATTCCTTGAAGAATCACCCATGAACAGAAGAAAATACCTTTGTTTGTAATCACAAAGACAAGAATGATAACTATCCAAATGTCCCTTAGCAGGAGACTAGGTATATAAATGTTTGTATATTATATTTACACACTGAAATATTTTATATACTTTACATGAATGAACTAGATTTATCTGTCTATTGAATGTTCCTTCATCCTGGTTTAATGTTTGTGGTAAATGTTAATATTGTTCACCAAATATTCCCTTTCTTCTCCTGGGCACACAGCAGGGATGCACTTTCCCACTTCCTTTGAACTTAGGTAAGGCCCTGTGACTTGCCTAAATTAAGCAAATGTGAGCCAAGAGATGTGTTACTTGCAGGGAAGAGTTAAGACCCAGAACCCAGCTCACTGTCTTCTCACTGCTACTGTGATGGAGGAAGCACAAATTAATACAAAGCTTCTATCACCCGGGTCCCTGAGAGATACAAGTACAGGCACTAGGGTGACTGTCGTTGAACACACAGAGTAAGCAGAAAGTAAGTGGGTGCTGTGTTAAGCACTAGGAGAGTCAGGACTGTTACTGCAGCCCAGGTTACCTATAGTATTATTTTATGTCTCAGCTCAAATTACTATGCATCTTGTGTCCCGTCCTTAAGTTCTCTCTTCCAAATCACATAATGTTTCCTCTTTTCCATGAGACAGAGGTGGCAGGAGGTAGCCCCTAAATGTAGCCCTTCATCTGTCTCCTTTCAGAGTCATGGGAGCTTCTCTCTAAGCCCCTTCTCTGTCAGAAAACTGTCCTTACAGATATTTCACCAGTGTTTTTGCTTTTTGCTTTGGAATTCAGCTTCATAGTTAAGAGATTCATCACCAGAAAATTCATCCTCTCTCCCTTCCTCCTGCCCTTCCTCCCTTCTTTATATGTGGATGGCTGTCCTCATCTGCCAAGAGCAGAGCATTAGGGAAGGTCTGTGAGATGAGGGCCCAAGTACTGGCATGCCCAACTTTGGGAAATAAATGCATTGCATAAAGATACATGTAAGATGATTTACTCGGCATCATGTAAAGTTAAAAATGTTTTGGCACGGTGGTAGTACTGCTCACTCTCTTTTCAGAGAGCATAATATTATACTGAAAAGTACAGTGTATATCCAATGATAATCTTTTTTCCAATCTATTTTTAAATTATGTAAAGCTACAAATCTTGACTGTATGGAGCTAGGGTTAATTGTAGACTTGGGTTAAGTAACTTAAATGACTGAAGAAGAAAACCCAGTGCTAGTAAATGCACAGAAAAGGCCCAAGGATGTAAAAGGCCCTCACCTTTTATCATTCTCTTCTTCGTGTTTAGAAAATCTGCATTATTTTTGAACAGCTATTATTTTATGGAAGCCCTTGATTTTTTATAAATGAACAGGTTGATATGGCTTTGAAGTATAGAAGAGACTCAGAATCAAAACAGAGCTATTGATTCAAAATAAAGCAGTTTGTGAACAAAGAAAAGAGCATGTGTATTAAAATGGAATAGAAAACAAAGGAACATGAATCATGGCTGAGGGCAACTGTATAGTCTGAAAAGGGATTGGTGCCATGTCCTGGACCACTTTGCTTTATCAATTTCAATAGTAAATATAAATGTCTATACATATATATACAATCTTTCTTTAAATACATTATTAAATGTCATAAATAAGTACAGTTTAGAGAATACTAATAAAACAAGTGCCATGAACCTACCACCTAGTTTAAGAACAGAACTTTTGAAGCTCCTCCAAGATTTCATCTCCCTTTTCCCAGACAAATTACCCCTAATTATGTATAATAATTCCCTGGATTACATTTTTAGTTTTACATTTATATATCTCTAAACAAATTATATTTTTTAGTTTTGCCTTTCTTTAAACTTTGTATAAATGAACTCATACTCTGTTTTTCTGTGCCTCGTTTTTTTGTTTTTCGGGGTTTTTTCCCCCTCAACATTGTATTTTTTATTTCTCTACTTGCATATAGGTGGTTCATTAATCTCAGTTACTGTGTAGTTTCCCATTGTAGTGATATCTTGCAATGTGTTCATTTTATATTTTATGGGGTATTATGTTTCTTTATAATAAAATTCTTTAGGGTTAATTGTTACATGTAGTTTGGTTTGTTCTAACCTTAGGTTCAACTTTTTTTTAAAGCTGTTTGGTGTGGTGCCCTGGCCAGTTCAGCTCAGCAGTTAGAGCGTCGGCCTGCGGTCCAGAGGGACCTGGGTTCAGTTCCCACTAAGGGCATGTACCTCGGTTGCAGTTTGTCCCCGGCCCTGGTTGGTTGTGCGGGTGGCAGCCAATCGATGTGTCCCTTTCACGTCAATGTTTCTTTCTCTCTCTCTCTCTCTCTCTCTCTCTCTCTCTCTCTCTCTCTCTATTCCTCTCTCCTTCCCACTCTATCTGAACAAAAAATGGAAAAATGTCCTCGGGTGAAGATTAAAAAAAAAGCTGTTTGGTGTGGAAAATGTGTTCATATCCTGAGATAATCAAGATGTTTCCTTTTATCATTGATTTGAGATAGATATTAATTTTTCCATAGCACACTATCAGGATATATTTGGCTTCTCTTATGTTGATGCTGACTCTTGTGTTGGATTCCCAGTTCCCATGGAGAATGTTGCAACAATTGCTGATTGTGCCAGTGTGATTGAAGGAGTCAGTCGGAGCCGAAATGCCTTGCTGAATGGGGACACCAAGAATTATGACTGGGATTCTGGCTATACGTGCCATCAGCTAGGAAGCGGTGCGATTGTGGTTCAGCTGGCACAGCCGTACATGATTGGGTCAATACGGTAAGAAGATGCCTTCTCATACACTACTTTTAAAATGGAAGACACGTGCAAATTATATTTTGGTACAGTGACGGTCCCAGTAACTTCAGTGAAGACACTCTTCTGTTCTTTGCTCTATCCAGTGAAGGGTGGGAAAGGGGCACAGAGATACAAGGCGCTTGTTGAATTCTCTGGTGGGGAGGTACACCAGAGTTAGGCTGTGTTGGTTGGGGACTTACAGGATAATGTCAAGACAGGTTATACAGAATCAAAAACCATGTGGAACTTTAATAAATGACTTTACATAGGAACAAAATAGAACTGTATATGAGATCTAAAAAGTCTTTGTAATGATCTTTATGTCTGGTTTTTAGTTGTTTTCAGAACCAAACTTTAACCCAATATTGCTTAATTTATAGGGTTATATAATTTTCAAATGTGATACTGGTGACCTCTCCTAGAGCAGTGGTTCTCAACCCTCCTAATGCCGCGACCCTTTAATACAGCTCCTCATGTTGTGTGTGGGCGTATCTGCATGTGGGCGGGCCGCCTGGAGACGGATAGAGGAGCCGTGTCTCGGTTCCTAAGACCATCGGAAATAGGTGTTTTCCGATGGTCTTAGGCGACCCCTGTGAAAGGGTCATTCAACCCCAAAGGGGTTGTGACCCACAGGTTGAGAAACACTGCCCTAGAGAGTATACTTTTAGTTCAAGAGAGCCATCTGGGTCTTGAATAGGCTGCCATTGTTTTATTTTTTTAATGTTCTAAGAAGGTCTCTGAAAGACTAATGGTATATTATATGTATAATATATATTGTATTATATTCAGCATTAGATAAGATGTCTTACATGATATCGTAGCCTGCCTGGGGTAGAGATGTTGGTGGGACATGGCTGCCTTTCCCCATCCTGCTCCACCACATTTGCTTTGTCATTTCTTGTTTTCATCTTAGAGTCGGTGTGTATAAGGAGAGAAATAGCACACAAAAGTAAGGTAGTAGGATTCTAATAGGCAAAAATTCATTGATATTTAGGCTAATAAGCCCAGAGGTCATTGCTGTCTGCCCGTTGCCAAGGGTACCCTGACGAGTGATGGTGGATTTCTTGGAGAATGCAGACTGGGAATTCTTCATTTAAATTGTCAACCCCTCATCCAGCTGGGGTGGCTCAGTGGTTGAGCATCAACCCCTACACCAAGATGGTTTGATTCCCGGTCAGGACACATGCCCAGGCTGTGGGCCTGATCCCCAGTGTGGGGCTTGTAGGAGGAGGCCAGTCACTGTTCTCTCTCATTGATGTTTCTGTCTCTCTTTCTCTCATTGATGTTTCTATCTTTCTCTCCTTCTGACTTCCTCTCTCTCTAAAAATCCAAGGGGAAAAAATTTTTTTAAAATAATAAATTGTCAACCCCTCTTTATAAAGGGCCATATACAATCTGAGTACCATAAGCAACAAATCACAGGTAGAGAAGCCTGGAGTTTATGTTGCAGACCAGACAACTCACTTTGTACTTAGGACGGGGATGAGACAAGCCACAATCAGTCTGAACAAACCACCAGTACAATGCACTTCCGTCTCAGAACAACACACCCCTCCTTCTTCTCAGCTGCCTGCATTAACTAAAGTATTCATGAACCATCTATTTTGTAAGCCATTCTAGAGTTTTTGTCATAGATGGTGTGAAACTTATCTGAATATTTCTCATTACAATCTATCCCTCTTCACTTTAAAAATCTGGGAAACAGTTGTCCTTCCCTTGTCACTGGCGCTCTTTATAGTCTCCACAATTTCTTGAAGATTACCAATCGTGTCTCTGAGATTGCATCTGCAATTTCTTTCAGCAGGCTTGTGGTGTAACTCATCTGAGCCAGGAGACTTGAAATCATTTAAATTGACTAGATACTCTTTCTTTCACTTCACCTATTTGGGGCTTCAATTTTCTCTTTATTATGTTTGTTCTACCATTTCTAATGTGAAGACCAGTCGTCTTGCCAATGAACATGTAAGCAAACCAGCAGCTTAATAGCTCTGCCCACTCTCTTTTAATGTCCCTCTATTCTGTCTGCTTACGGGGTACCCCACCCCACCCCCACCCTACCTAACAATGTTCCATGTACATCTCAAACCAATATGTCAGAAATGGATTCCATTATCCTTCCCTTCCCCTGTTCAAGTCGCCTCACACCATGATGCCGGTCTCATTCAATGGCACCACCCTTCTATCTATCAACTGAGCCAAAAACATAGGAATCTTTGTAAATTTCTTCCTCTCCCTCCCCACCCCTTCTCAGCCAGTCAGCTATGGAGTTCTGTCAAAACCAGCTCCTACAAGTCACAAATGCCATCGCCACACCTTTGTAGTGTCTCCTCTCTCCCTAGTCTTTTGGACTTTCATCTATCCCTTCCTTCCCCACCTGCAGCCATCTCCCACCCGTTACCACAAATCTGATGCAGTCATGCCCTTTGCTAAGAGAATTCATGGCTACTATCCGCCTTCAGGCTGACAAAGGCACTTAAGAATGATCGACTTGGTCCGGCCGGTGTGGCTCAGTGGTTGAATGTTGACCCAGGCACCAAGAGGTCACCGGTTCGATTCCTGGTCAGGGCACATGCCCAGGTTGTGGACCTGATCCCCGGTAGGGCCAATCGATATTCTCTCTCATTGATGTTTTTCTCTCTCTCTCCCTCTCCCTTCCTCTCTTTCTAAAAATCAATAAAGGGAAAAAAATAAAAAGAATGATCTGGCTCGGCTTCCACCTGCAGTCTGTCTCCTGTTCCTCCACCCACCCTGCCCATGCTCTCTCAGCCTGTTGCAGTTTGCATGTGTGTCACCCTCCTACTACCTCGCTTTCAACTCTGAACATGCTGTTCTCAGTGCTTGTGTCTCTTACTACCTTTCCCCACCCCCTTTACACCTGGCTCTTATTTCCCCTTCAAGACTCCCCTCCTTTGGGCATACTTCCTCAACCTTCCATTGTCTCCTGGCCCGTGGAGACATTCCTCTCAGTGATCTCTGTATTTCATTCCTATGGGGCAGTAGTCGTATTTGTGTAATTGTGTGCTTGCTTTCCCCTCCCAGCGTACTGCTACATAAAGCCTGTGCCAACTCGGAATGAGTGTCCCTCGATGGACTGTGCAGATGAGGTGGTCTGAGAAGGTGGAGAGGGTTCCAGTGAGTGCAGTAAGAGATCTAGAATTTAGGTCCAACGGGGGCTCGAGGTCTTTGCCAAAGTGACAGCTTAGAGACGAATAGGCTCTTCATATGACAAGGCCACCTTGGCCTCTAGCTCTAGTCAAAGCATCAGAGAGGTTAAATCTGACTCCAGGAAAAGGTGTAATTGGGACTTTAGACAAGAGAGAACAGTGCCCGTTTGTTTTTCTTTAAATGTGGAATTAAAATGGTTCCCCCAATTTTCCTTCTCCTGACTTAGAGGGAGGATGATGGCGCATGAGCACAGCCAAAGGCAGGATTGTGCATCTCAGCGCAGTGTGACGCCTCCAACTTCCCGCAGCCCCGCTGTTGCGGCTGCGATGAGAAATCCATGCAGTTGAAGCCTGCATAACCGGCTGAGCACTCGGAGAGACACGTCTCTCTGAAACTCACATTGCGTTGTCAGGGCCTGCATTTGCCTCTTCTGTGACATTATTAAGAAGAGAAGGAGAGGGATTTCTTAACCACCAGTGCCCGTGGACGATGCTGGATGTCTTGGCAGGCCGTGGTTAGCAGCAGCTGATATGCCCAGACAGATGTTTATTGATAGGAAAGTAGATCAGTGGCACCTCTTCATGGGGATGGGTAATTGACCAATGGCAGGTTGATTACTCAGTGACGTTTGACCTACAGTTTCTATTGCTTGTGATGACTGACTTGCTTTCCCAGTCACTGTGTCTAAAGAAGCCCAGCGATTCTGAATCAGCGCCTGAGGGCGAGTGTCACACAGCTGAGTGACTTGCACTCTCCCCTTCTAAAGGGAGAGCTGCAATCCTGAAAACTCTTGGTTTCCTGACTTTAAATTCAGAGTTCTTTGAAGCTGATGACTACTAAGGCAAAGGTCTCAAACCTAAATGATCTCCATCCCTGCATTCTTTATTCCTGTGAAGGGTGCATACTTGTTTGTGGATAAAAAAAAAACAATTTGTTTTCATCTCTGTTTGTCCGTTTTCATCCACAGGAACCATTTCTACCTTTCCTGAGAGTTTCCCCTATGGCCGGATAGGCAAGCCGAGCCTGTTTCTTCACTGATCATGCTTGCGCCTAACCCCAGTCAGCAGGAGCCTGATCCTGCTAGTGTGTCTGCTGCCAGTTCCCTTGTGGTGTCCTGGAGACGCTGACCTTGAAATATGATCTCTGGCCATCTCCACCTCCCCCTGTGTTCTTTCATTCATTCAGCAAACATTTGTGGAGTCTTTGACTGTGTGCCAGGCACTGGGGTCCAGCACTGAATAAAGAAAACCCTTGTGAAACTGACATCCTGGTTGGGGAGATAAACAGTAAACAAACACTACCCTCTGTCCAGTTCTCCAAAGTGCTCTGAGGCAGTCAGGATCAGGGGATGGAGACAGTGCAGTTTCAGGGTTAAAGAGCAAGCAGTCAGGGACCTGGAAGACGAACATCACAGGCAGAGCACCAAGGCCCTGAGCAGGAAGCACAACAGGCAGGCTGCAGGCGCCCCAAGGAGGCCACTGTGAGGGAGAAGAGTGAGGGAGGGGAGAGGAAGAGGCAAGCGGGGGGAGGTAACGGAGAGGTGACAGCCCGGAGATGCTTTGTTGCTGTTTCTATATTCAGTGTCCAGCTCCCATACCACCCCACTTGCCAGCAGGGCCCCATCCCAGTGCTTCCACGGCAGTTAGAGGAGAGGTTTCTCTGCTGAGGAGCAGGGCAGGGCTGGGGTCATCCTGCCTTTAAGCAGCACCTTCCTTTATCCAACTGACTCCTGGAGAAGGAACAGCAGGAGGCGCCTTAGTCCTTGCAGTCTAACCCCGTCCTGTTTCTCCTTCCCTGGAGCCAGAGCTGCAGTTCAA